TCTGGGAGTTGAAGTCCACTCATCTTAAAGTGGCCAAGTTTGGACAACACTGCCTTATATGTAAGCATCCCCTCCACTGTAGCTGAACTGCATATCCCTCATGGCTACGTCTCACTCTTTATAGATGGTTTGGGAGGAATGGAGGGTGGGACCCCAAGTCGTTAAGTTGAAGAGACATTTCTGTTTGCTCCTCCCCAGTAGAAGAGGGGCTAGAGCAAATTGGGGGTTTAAATAAATAATGGGGTGGCAAAACTGGCTCCTGAAAGGTTTTTCCTTTGAAAGGAGACCTGCCTGTGGGTAGTTATCACATGGTGTGTGAAGAGAATGTCAGCGAGAAGTTGTTAATTTGAGGATAGACATGATCTGAAAGTGTGCAGGGTTTGGTTCCTATCCTACAGTGTTGTGGTGGGAGAGCATCCAGTTACTCTGAAGCAGTATGGAAAGTGTTAAACGAGACATGAATGTTTCTGTTAGGACTAGTACAGGGCAGACAAAAATAATTAAATCAGAAATGAACCCTGTATGCTGGGATGTAAACAAATCCTAGTTACATGATGGGCAAATGTGCGCAGTTGGATCTACGTTGTATAAACGTTCTAAATGTTTCTGCGCTCTCAGCATGCAGTGGAAGCTATTTGGAAAGTGGTAGCTGATATGCTGCAGCCAGATCGACCAGCCGAGGCCCGGCACGCTGTCCTCCATCTGTTGAAGGCAATTATTCAGGGACAAGTAAGTGCATTACCAAGCAACTGGCTGTGTGCTGCTAGAACAAAGCATCCTTTCTAAAAATTTATACCCATCACTTAAGCCTTTTTTTTTTTTTAAATCCCTAAGGGTGAAAGGCTGGGGATTCTCCGAGCTCATTTTTTCAGAGTGATTAAAGATTATCCATCTAACGAAGACCTGCATGAACGGCTTGAAGTATTCAAGGCACTGACAGATAATGGAAAATACATAACGTACTTGGAAGAGGAACTAGGTATGTCCCTTTTTTCAGTGATTAAATTCTTGCACAGAGAAGGAGGTGACCAAAACTTACCATCTGTTTTGGCCTTCTGGTCTGACCCAGCAAGGCTGTTTCTTCTGGTCTTACAAGGAAGGACCTGCTGTATCTGGTGAATTTTTAAGTGGGTCATTTAGAAGCTTGGGCCATTGTCTGTCATTCATATGGAGCATTTTCTGGAGTTCAGCATCTGGCATTCTACCCCATTTCTCATTGCTGCTTCTTTCAGCTGAATTTGTTCTTCAGTGGATGAAAGTTGGTTTGACTTCAGAGTTTCTCTTGGTGTTGATCAACCTAGTCAAATTCAACGGCTGTTACTTGGATGACTACATTGCTGGCATGGTCTAGTAAGGCAAAGTTTTAGACCTTCTCTTGATTATAAGGAAGCGTAATTAGTGTGGAATTCTGGGTTCTGTGGCCCCAAAATATCTAGACAACCCCGTTTGGGGGAGGTTGTTTTGAAACAATAATCAAACTTCTCTGTAGACTTCATGTTCTGTGCTGGCTGGGATGTGGAAAAAATGTTTATATCAAAGTCAGTTCAAGCACTGACTTAATTGACATGGCAGCATAAGAAAGCCATTAATTAGCTGTGAGCCATGGGCTGGTGGAGAACTTGGTCAGAACAAGTGGTCCTCATGTACCCAAGCTTGGGTGGGGTGGCTTTCTGACAGGCTTGAATTATAGATTAAAGATTTCTGCGCTGGAGGTCCAGTTAAAGAGCCAACCAACCTACAGCTTTAACCACATTTTCCTTTCCTTTAGCATGATTTGCGCCTTATGCATTCAGACCTCTTCTGCAGTTGACATTAAGGTGGGTAATTGCATAGATGTGGGCAGAATAAAAAGGATTCTTAAAAATAGGAGCAGGTCTCTCTTGGGACAGTGGGGCTTTGTTATACGTTTCTGCTTCTCCTCCCTTCCAGTTAATCTCCTGTAAAAGCCCTTTCAGAATTTCCATGGTTTTGTCTGTTTCTTTCTCCTGTTTGTAAACTCTCCTCGACGGCTTCCAATCTGTCACTCCTCCCGCTCCAGACCCCCCTGCCTGGGCTTTGCTGTTGCCAACCATACAACTGGGTCTGCCCACAAGCATCTCATGTTGGGGCCGCTGGAAGCCTCTTGTAACCAGCTCTTCACGCACTGGGCTACTCCGTGGCTGGCAGCTTGTGTCATTGGTTAGACATCTGGGGGTGTGTGTGCCAGAATGACATGCTCCTATGTGTCTGCTTGATAGCTTTTGCTCAGAGGAGGGTAATGTTGAACACGCTGCCTTTGCTTGCTCGCGTTGGTCCCTTGCTGCTCCCTCAGTCCTATCTCGTAAAAATGTTTTTACAAGCATTTCTAACAATTGCCTGCCTTTTTTGCTTCATGTTTTTATTGGGACAGAACAAAAATGAAATGTGAAAATCACATTTCTCCGTATCTCCTCACACCAACCTTTTCCCTCAAGGTTTCCCTGCAAGTTTTGGATGCTGTGGTGTGTTACAATTGCTTGCCTTCTGAAATCCTCCCAATGTTTATCATCACCTTGTGCTGGACCATCAATGTGAAGGAGCTCTGTGAGCCCTGCTGGGAGGTAAGCCGTTCTTCCTGTACTTGAAGCAGGAAGCAGTTGAGTCCTGCGAAGCAAGAGGTGAAGAGGAGAAAAACTCAGAAGCAACTTGGCATTGGGGAGAGCTGAATTAACAGGCAGCTTTAACCCAACTCTGTGGCTGGGTTCAGATATCAACCAGGCCAGAATCTGATTGGTTTGGGTTGGTGGGTTCTGGTTTATTTAATAAATGATACTTGAGCAAGCCCTGATACGATGGTCTGGTTCATATAATATGCTAAGCCGTAACGTGCTTTGTTTATGCTCAGGGTTATTTTTATAAATAGACCCAGTTAAATTAAAAAAAAAACAGGATTGAAGACCTCATTGCCTAGAAGCTATAGCACTTCCCCACATACAACCAAAAGTATGGATCCGGTATGTAGATGACACATTTGTTATTATAAAAAAGGAACAACTGGAGAAGACACATGAAACTATCAACAGCATCTTCAAAGGAATAAAATTCACCAGAGAGGAAGAAAACAACAACATGCTCCCCT